GCTATCTGCTTGCAAAATTTCATGCAAATCCATTCAGTCGTTTCTGCGTATTAATTGAATTAAACTTTTTAACAGGTGGCAACTCTTAAGAAAAGTAGCCTATTTTCGAATCTAGGTCATAACCTATCTGTTTGCAAATTTTCATGCAAATCCATTCAGTCGTTCCCGCATATTAAATAAATTAAACTTTTAACCAGGTGGCAACTCTTAAAAGAATAGCCTATTAACCAATCTGGCGCATAGGCTGTCTGCGTACAAAACTTCATGCAAATCCGTTCAGTCGTTTCCCCGTGATGATTTCCCAAACATCCAAACATACAAACTTTCACATTTATAATATTAGTAAGATAAACCAATAATCACAAGAATTATAAAAATTTCTCTCCAAAAGATACGTTTCAAAGCATCCCTGTCGATGTCATAATTCAAATACAAATTTGAATAGAAATTTTGATGCGAACGATTTTCCCCGATATTCATCATTCAAATTTCTTTATTCATTATTTTCTTCCCCGCAAATGTACTCATTATTTTAAGTGGCTTTCATCTTTTTATTTTTGTAAAAAATAATATAGACATGTTGCTCTTGACAGCTGCAATAGCTTCAATACACTAACAAAAGTGTGAATACCCAGTGCCCAGCTTAGAATAAGAATCCTAGCATTTTGCCTCCCAAATGTTTCCGTCTGGCCTCCTCAAGATCCATAATGCCTCCGGAGGTAGTCAACACAACGTAACCAAATTGACGAGAAGGCAGCAAGTTGGTCCACTTCCAACCATTCAAGGATTGTAAAGGTACATTATTTAGCTTAGTTTAGGAATTTTTAAAGAAAAGAAAAACTCTCATGATTCGCAGACTTTCGCATATATGTATATGTGCCTTAAAACCCCTTTTTTTTTGTCGCGTAAGTTATCACCTGGTTTTGAACGGATATTTTCCACACCAAAGTTTCGAGGCTGCTTATTTTTTTCTCAAACGTAGTACCCTTTGGTTGCAACATAACCGTAACCTTTTTTTTCTGTAACTTCTATTTTTGATTGATTTACGTTACTCTATAAACGTACGAATGTCGCGTACGGCTGTATGGAAACACCCATATGTACATACATACATATAGCAGCAATTAATTTGATTTAAAGAAATGGCGTGACGTCCATTTTCGCTGTAGCGTATGTAGTGCATATTTTTAACTTCTTCTGGCGAGGCGACATCTATCTCTAGAGGCTTTCTAATTGTATGTCTTTGATATGATACCTACGACGAGGTTGATATCTAGACTAGGTTTGCCATAAATACCTTTGCTATATTTATAGTATATGGTGGGCTGGATATACAACATTGCAAGTTGATAAAAGCGTTATAAAAATATATTTAGACTACAAGTGTGTAATGTACGTTTATTACGAATTGAAACGATTTTAATGAGTATTCATAGCTTCATAGCAGTTACATCAAAATGCATATTTGACAAGAAAGAGTACAAGATTGCCCCGTCATAGTGGAGATGATATTTCTGTACAAAAAGTAAACAAAGCCGAATTGCATGTTAATTCTTCTTAATTTTCTCAATAATAAATTTTTCGATAGTAAACGGGTTTTAATTGTGCTAAATTCTAAAAATATATGATATACAATGACAATTAATAAGAAAAATGTGAAAAAAACGGTAATTTTTGTGGAAGTGGAAGTGAATTTCAGTGCATTTAAAGTTTCTGATGCGCCTTTTACTTTTAGATCAGAATTATCAAAATCGACAAATTCAAATTAGCGGTACGTCTGACGGTGCCACCCATGATAAAAACATTACACGGTAAATTCATTCTATCAATTCGTCGGCCATGATTTTTTTCTGACGCTTGCCAACATTTTAAAATCATATAAAATTTAAAATAAAAAAATTAAATTGTTCACAATTGTTGTTGTTTGAGATTGAAAATGCACACAAAGTTAATATTTTACCCAAATTCATAAAAAATTAAGAAATCTAACTTTTTATAAAAATGTCACTGTACAGAGCTATATAAATCTATTTTATTTTTTTTAAATAAGGCCACTAGCATGTACGGTTTTTATAAATGAATCTTGTAGCGTCACGCTGTATAAATACCTATGTACATATATACGTTTTGGCTGGTGAAATATGTACTTTTTTTGTTTTTAAATATTCAATGGCGCAACACAGCAACTCTTTTTGTTACACGAAACCCTTGAATACGTGCCTGTTATCTATTTCTTCTGTTTCGACATTCCGCTATTTTGCATTTCTTTCATTTTGACGTCATTCGCATTGTGAGATTTTTGAAATTCGTTTTAATTCGCCATTCTGCTATTTCATAATTCTTTCATTCTCATGTCATCCATCTTCCATTTCTTACCTTCCATTGCCGTTCGCATCGTCGAACGTGCCTGTCAAACATTGCCGCCATCATGCTTTTCAGTTTGGCAGGCACGTCCGCTGTTAGAAAGAGAATAAACAAAAAGGGGCATAGGATTCCATACTTGTAAGTATATACGATGATCGTAACAGCCTTTTTCTGTACTGACCTCAGAATTAATGGAACAAATTTTCCCAGCGGAAACTTGCAAGTAAGAAAATCGGCTGATCACAATAATAATAATAATAGATTGGCGCTTACACATATGTTAGTGTTTGGCCGAGCTTCTCCTCCGATTTGTGGCGTGCGCCTTGATGTTGTCACACAAAGCGGAGGGACCTACAGTTTTACGCCGACTCCGAACGGCGATTGTATTTTTATGAGAAGCTGTTTTTCATGGCAGAAATACACTCGGAGGTTTGCCATTGCCTGCCGAGGGACGACCGCTGTTAAGAAAAAAAACCGTTTTCTATATTTTTTTGATGTTGCTTTGACTAGGGCTTGAACCCAGGCATTGTGGAGTGGAAGAGCGCACTGCTTACCACTAGACCACAGCGGCCGACACATCACACGACATCACAAACATATGTTTGTAAATAAACAAAAGAAAATATGACTTTTTTGAATTATTTACTGCAAATTTTATTATTAATGCTAGTATACAACGAAAAAGAGAGTAAAGTTATTAAGCACAAGGTTTGTTGAGTTTATTTTTAGTTAATTTACTATTAATTTCCGGTTTGTTTACTTTAGTGTGTGCTGACTATGGTTGCCGTATGCCATTTTTCGTTTGTACCATAATTGTTCTCTAAATATACCAAAATAGATAAAAATGCAGCAAGCTGAAATTTTGTTGGCCNTTCCGGTTTGTTTACTTTAGTGTGTGCTGACTATGGTTGCCGTATGCCATTTTTCGTTTGTACCATAATTGTTCTCTAAATATACCAAAATAGATAAAAATGCAGCAAGCTGAAATTTTGTTGGCCGAATTTGTCAGTTTTGGTAGGTTGATTGTTGAAATTATAATTTTATAATTTTAAAAGTACATTTGTAGCATCTACATAAATGTACATTTGTAGATACCTACCAATTTTTTTTTTCAAGGATGGGTGTTTGGAGGATATTTTCTTATTTTTGAATGTGCCATGATGTGGTATCACAAATAATTTTGGGAAATATATTTCATTCATTCCGATATAATTTATTTGTATTTTAAAAAGGTTTTTCAATTCCAATAGTATGCAATTGTATAAAATGCAAAATCGGGGAAAATGTACCAAGCAGAAAATAAATTACCCACCAGTGGCAACTGTGGAAGTGATCAACTGTTTCGAAGGCTGCAAGTTTTTGCAAATTTTGCGTTCTCGTACTTCTTAGTCCTCTCAATAGAGTACACACATATAGACGAGAGCAGAGTTTTTCGATAATATAAAGCAGCTTTAAAGAGTACTTCCAAAAATTGTAATGCAACAGTCCGCTGTTGAAACATTTATAACTCCTAAACAACAGGAGGTGCAATATATTTTAACCGCCCAATTCTGTGTTTTCTTGATAAATTATTTGTAAAGAAATTTTATAAAGATTTTAATCCAGTAAAAGCTCCCATCGTATTCTCTGTCAATATTTATAAAATAAAAAGCTCTATGATTTCCCCATGAGTGAAACTGGTTTCATTGTCACATATGAAAAATGGGGCACCGAAATTGCGCATATGGAAACTGTAAATTTAGACATTATTTCGATTTCAACCGAAATTGAGCATGTATGCATTACTTCGTTTTTTTCCATATGCATTACTTCGCTTGTTATGGGTTACTGTTCGTCGCACCAAAAAATCTAAGCATTTTACTCTTCGGCATATAGTGCACCCTGTAACGTATTAGAAATTTCACCATATAATATTTTTCTAGAGCGTACGGCAACGCTAAACCTGAATGGAAGGCCTGCCATTTTGACGATAGCTGTGTTTCCTTGCGGACGGCTGTCACTGATTGTCACTAGTTCCTGCAGGTTTGTTTGGTTACTTATTTTTGTTAATAAACGCTTTTCCGCGGAGGGTAGTGATTGTTTGTGACAATTGTCCTTACGCTGACGACACACAATCAATTTTGCCTTTCGATTTTCTCACACACATTGCTTGTCAAAAATGATCAAAATTGAAAGCCATTACATGGGCTGCATTCAATTTAAGCAGCAATGTCATTGTCAACATGCCGACTTCGAGAAAACGACTAAAATTGCTTACTTCAATTCAGGTCCTAGAAGAAATAAAATAAAACTAAAAGCTAAGGCGAAAAATAGAAGAAATCCACGAAAATATATTGGGTGAAACCCTTATTAGTTAGAAGGTTTGTAGTTTGTTTTATAATAACGTAGAGGAATTTATTATTTCCGTTTTATTTAAGGGTAGAACACGATTTAGAAGGGCATTCGCTGAAAGGTTTGCTGTGGGAAGACGAGGAAGGTGACTTTAAAAACTTCACGCGCTTGGACATAACTAAGTTCGAAGAACTATTAAGTTTCGTACATATCTAAATACTCATATTTGGAAGATAAAAAAAACAAATAAGTGTTTATATTATAAAAATTATAACTACAACTTAGGTGCGTGATGGTCTGCAGAAACACACACATGCGAGCTGCTATTACTCCGCGATTAAAACTATGTATCACGTTGAGATACATAGCTTCTGGAGACTCCTACAAGTCCTTGGAATTTCTATCCAGAGTTTCAAGGAACACAATTTGGATTTTCATTCCCATTGTTTTAAATGCTGTGTACGAAAGCCTTCAGCAAGCACATCTAAAGGTACTTTCACTTTTTCGTTTTAAATTAAACATTATTTTAAAGTTTTTAGATTTTATTAAAAAAAACATAAAAAAACGAAAATTAATAAAATCCATTAATTTAACACAAAAAGCATTTTTAATCAGGCATTACATACAGAAGCGGCCACAAAAAGCCGTGCACAATCGCATATGTGTACTTAGATGCAGCGGAAATTTAACGCGATTAATCAGTTTTTACGAATTCAGACGAGGAAAGAAGTTATTTTAGGTACAAATCAAGACATTATTACTTAGTAACTTATGGCGTCATATTCCAAAATTTCAGCATCTATCATGGCTCTTCAAAGAATATCGTAGGAAGAGGTGGTACACGTATTTTGTGACAAAGGTGTCGATGTTCTTGGTGGAACATTGGAAGCTATTCCCAATACTTCTAATGACACTATTTGGGGCCGTGCATGGTGACTTTCTGTAATAAGTGCGATTTTTTTCCTTGATACGAGCTCCAGAATGTCCGCCATAACTTGGTACGCCTCTTTCTCCGGGAATTCCTTAATTTGTGCAGCAATGTTTTCCCCAAAAGATTCATAAACAGTAACGCTTTTGTTTATTTCAATGAGGTGCTCTATTGCTGTATCTAATTTTGATTGCGGTCCCGGGTGAATGCTTTCTTTTTCTTTTGCCCTTTTGGGTTGACAATACACTACACTCGCTGCCAGAAGTTTGTGAAAATGAATCATCATCCTGTAGTCGCCTTTCATTCGAAATTTTGCAAACATTCGTGTCCTGAAAAATAAATAAATAATATAAAAAAAAAACTTTTTAATATACAACGCTTTTATAAATGGACTAAAAAGTAGAAAATAATCTTTCTCAGTCCCATAGAATTTGTTTTGATAACTTTTGATTTTGAAATTTTAGCAAAAGTCATTATAAACAATCTATGAAATTGAAAATGAAAAGCGGGGAGCGCATGCAATACAAAGCATTCGATTTAATTGACAATAGTCAAACTACATAACGTAGACCTAAAATTTCTACAGCGAAAGTAGAACTTTGAAATCGATTTTAAGCGGTCGTTATTCATATACCCACATACATACATACATATATTACTTTTCATATCAATTCAAGTGTATTACATGCGCCCCACGCTTTTCATTTTCAATTTCATAGATTGTTTATAATGACTTTTGCTAAAATTTCAAAATCAAAAGTTATCAAAACAAATTCTATGGGACTGAGAAGTATTATTTTCTACTTTTTAGTCCATTTATAAAAGCGTTGTATATTAAAAAGTTTTTTTTATATTATTTATTTTCTACTTTTTAGTCCTGTCTGAATAAAATTTTGCAATAGATATTAAAATAATTCAACGATATTAATAGAAAGGTGCACACACATGCATTTACATATGTATGTACATACAAACGAGCACCAATTAATTTTATTTAAAGAAATGGCGTGTCGTCTATTTCCGCTGTAGCAAACGTAGTACATAGGGCGACATCTAGATGTCATCTACCTCGCCCTATTCACTACAGATGTTGCCCTATGCACTATGCTTTTTTATAGGAACTTTTCAAAGCAAAGCTTTATGGTGTCGGACACACAACATTGAAAGTTTCTGGATCCATAACATTGAAAGTTTCTGGACACACAACATTGCAAGTTGATAAAAGCGTTGTAAAAAGTAGTGGTTTACATACTTATGCTAAAAACATTTCTTTTATTTATTGACTAGATGCCAAATACGGAGGCTGAATGGTTGCAGGTTGCAAATGATTTTAATACTTTGTGGCAATTCCCACACACTTTGGGTGTGCTTGATGGGAAACACGTCCGCATTAAGGCTCCGGCACATACATGATCTCAATTTTATAATTTCAAAGGATTTTTTAGCATAGTTTTATTTGCATGCGTTAACGCACACGGTCGGTTTGCATACATAAATGTTGGCTGCAATGGTAAATCCTCCGCCAACACAATATACAGAGACAGCCATTTATACGAGGATTTACAAAACGGGACACTAAGCATCCCAAAGGCTAGCCAGTTATTCCTCCTTGCACTGCGGAAAATTCCAGTTGGAAGAGTAGCGGAACTAGTCCAAATGACGCAGTTATTCTTCCAAACGGAATACCTATTTTCCCAGAGAGCAAGGGTATAAAACCCTGATGGCAACCCCACAGTCGGCCATTTCTACATCGCACTGGTGAATAGCAACCGGAAAGGCATCCTCGTAAAAATTCATGAGACAATACGTTTTAGTTTTGCCAAAACACAGACGTGTCGATGGACACTAAAGTCAACGTAAAATCAGGGTTCGGAAATATTCACTCATCTTCGTACGCGAAGGTGAACGTATCAAATATTCCCTATTGATTCTCCTTCGCGAACGAGAAACATAAAACCCGTCCAGATAGTTCGCTGTTGTTCGTACGCGTATGTATTGGTGGACCAAACAGCGTGCTCATATATGTAGCTATAAGTGGCAGCGATGCCTTCGCGAAGGTTCACTGGTGTCGTTCTCGTTCATAAGTGAATGTAAATGCTGCGTCAAACATTCGCGGAAAGTTGGTGTGGCTGGAGATACTATTCTATGCGAAGGCAATTTTGTTAATTGCATAAGATTTGCGACGTTCATTCGATTTTCAAAAATGACGTGTCAAATGAAAGGGTTTGGCCTCTAGATGTTTCCTTGTCCAACTTGGAAAAGTCAGGACAGACTTCGCGGTTTTTCTTACCGATGATGTCAGTGTCATCGGCATAAGCCAGCAATTGTACGCTCTTGTAGTAAATTGTTCCTAAGCGGTTCAGTTCTGAAGATCTTATTATCTTCTCCAACATCAGATTAAAGAAGCCACATGAAAGAGAGCCGCCCTGTCTGAAACCCCGTCTGGTGGCGAAAGGCAACAGAGCAGAGCTGGTGGTATTACTCAACGTCATTTTTCACAGGCGTATGACAGACATAGCGGCATATACCTTTAAGTACTGTCGAAAGCGGCTTTAAAGTCGACAAATAGGTGGTGAGTGCGGATCATTTTCTCGCGGGTCTTTTCCAAGATTCGGCGTACTGTGAATACCTGGTCTATGGTAGACAATACATTCGATAAGACCTTGCAACCTATGCTTAGAAGGCTGATCCCGCGGTAGTTGGTACGCATGGCGGGGTCGCCTTTCTTGTGGATTGGGCAGAGCGCACTTGAATTCCAGTCGTCGGGCATGCACCTTATTACCTCCTTGCCATCGTAATTAAATAGCTCAGCTGACAGGCCGTCAGCTCAGACAGCTTTGGCACTTTTCTTCATAGTCAGGCGCTGGGATATCGACTCCATCGTCATCGACTGGAACCTCGAAGTGCTTCCGCTATTCAAAAGGGTCGAAAAGTGTTCCCTCCATAATCTGAGTACGTTCTGGACATCAGTCACTAGGTCGCCATGGTTGTTCATACAAGAGTCTTGAAACCTTCCGTAAGTCGCTCAACTCTCTGCTAAAAATTTCGGGTGTTTTTTCTGTCGGACAGCATTTCAAGCATTTTCTCACACTCGTGATCGTACCAGTAATTAGCGGGAAATGTGGTTCCACTGCTCGCGCAAGTCGGTTTGTTGAAGAGTGCTCTCTCACAGCAGGTGTGAGGGTCGAGCGCCGAATCCATTGGCCGTCTGTTTTGATTGCAGCTTTTCGACGTTGAACTTTCCCTGCATTGTTGGGGGCCCTTTTTTTGCTTCTCCGAGGTTAGGTCGTATATTGGATGCATCAATATAGTAGTGCGAGTCGATGTTTGGCCCTCGGAGTGTACGTATGTACATCTAAAACATGGAAGCATGTCTTCCGTCTATCACAACATGCTCGATTTGGTTTCCCGTTTTTCGATGTGGAGACATCCATGTAGCTTGAGAGAACGAAAAATGACACTGAAGATGGAACAACGCCGAAACCGGTTTGTCTCCAAACCAAATTTGACAAGGGACGACGGAAAATCGTTCCACAATACATCACACTCCTACCCTGTCGGAAACACCAACAACGAAAATAAGAATAGCTTGATGGATGTTTTTATGCTAGAACCCAGTAATACATACTGCCAAGCTTCGGGCCCCGGCGAAGTGGATCATCCTCAGCCCGCCGTTTCTATGTGGAGGCTGATTTTTTCGACACTGGCACCAAAGATCCCTTCGTTGCCCACCTTGGCATTTAAATGGCCAAGCACGATTTTTATACGTGTCGGGGGCAGCGCTAATATGTACGCTCTAAGCTAAGAGAGCCTTGGATGCCTCGTCCTTCTCTTCCATCGGGGCATTGGCACATGTGAATGAGATGTTGAAGAATCTCGCTTTGAGGCGGATTGTGGCTAGACTTTCGTCCACTAGAGTGAACGCCGGTGTCTCTCCCACCACAAATCCAACACCGAATTGCACTCCTTTACGTGGCAACTGTAGTAGACGTCGCAAGGCTCACGCTTACCTTCCTCGCCCCGTCCATCGCATTTCGTGGATGGAGCTGATGTCAGCCTTTATTTTCCCTAGGAATTCAACCAGCCGGGCAGAGGCACCATCCCGATTAATCCCCAGCGCACGCGGGGTGTTACGCCCTCCCACTTTACCTCGCTCCTAAACTAGCGTTCGGTCGCTACCCAGAGTATTCATGGATATAAATATCCGGACGTAGTTAGCTGCGATTTGAACCGTAAGCACACGAATCACTTCTGGCCACTCCCAGGTGAATTGCCGGCAAAAGCTTTGCAGTACTGGGAAATGTACAAAACATAGTGGCCAAAAACGAATATCTCAACTAAACCCTGATGAATTTTTTTAAATTCGCTCTACATACCTGTATAATAAACCAAATAGCCGGACAAAACGTTAAATGATATACATACATATGTATGTATGTATAAGTATGAGGGCGTATTGAACATTTTGAGTACGCAGATTTTTTAGGCTGGTATATTTATTTATGCTAAATATATTAATTGATTTTGTTTTGTCACACTTTAGAAGTAAACGTCTTGGCTGTTCACCCAACCGCTTAGTAAAGACACAAACCTAAAGACAAAGTAATAAACAATTGAACTATAAATTTATTTATAGTTTCCGTTCAATCAATTTTTGCTCATTGTCGACTGCAGCCAGGTTTTTACCCTTTTAAAATGGAAGTGCTTTGAAGTTAGAGATAATAACTTGATACAGAACCGGATGATCCACATATCTACTTTTCAAATCAATTTACTAATTATTTAGTTAGCGTTGGGAGTATAATTTGTTATACAGTATATATATAGGAAAAACCTTGAAATTTAGGGGGGGCCGAAATTATCAAGCAAGCATTTCGTGGTAGTATTTTTGAATATCTAGGCCAAAAATTGAAAGTTAGGGGGGAATGCACACGCATTCTGGAGTAAAAATGCTCACTCTCCCAAACGTACGCCACATACACTCCTCGTCATTTGAATAGCTCAACTTTTTAATAAAGATTAAAGAGTATTTACGCTTTTAATTTTGGTTATTTAATATTCATTACATCTGATTTTAAAACTATATACAGAGTTAAAAAAAATGTCAACAAAGGGGTACAATAAAGTGCAAGTTTCAAGTGTCTGTAAAATAGCGGTGATTTTTGAAAATTTTTTTGGTGATAGTGCTGCGCATTTTCTCTCATACAAAGTATGCTCGACAAAACTTTTATATGGAATAAAATGCGCAGCACTGTCAATAAAAAATAAATGAATTTGAAAAATCGGGGCTGTTTTAGAGTCACTTCAAACTTGCACTTAATTACACAATAATTGAATGGGCATATCAGAAATTTTTCTAAAAATATTATTAACTTATTCACTGCAGGTCATTAGGATGGCACACTCCTATGTTGATCTTTTTTAAGAACTGTTTCCAGCTCTCGAGAAAAACGAAAAAATCATATAAAATGCTGCCCAAGAAATGGAAAATAAACTTTCTTTTAAGTTTTAGTTTGTAAAAAAATTTAAAATTGCATTTACCCATAGAATATGCTATATCGTCACTAGACACGAATAAAGGCGCGAGCTCAAAAGTTGACGGCGAAAAAAGATGCATAAAAAAATTTCAGCGTCAAATACTCTTAACATACTTCGCCAAAGTTTTTTATAAGCATCTTTTTTCGCAAAATTTTTTTAAACGCTTTTTTTCACCGTCAAAACACCAGCGCGCCTTTATTCGTATGTAGTGACGATATTTTTAAAAAAAATTTATATTAAATAAACAAACGGAAAACTGTAAATACTAAGAATTGAAAGGGTATGCAATTTAAATGACGAGGAGTGTATATGAGCAGCGTGATTGTGTTAGGGCCAAATTCACAGTGCGTACAAAAATCTGTAGGTAACTGCCGATTCTGAGTTAACTACGCACTGTGAATTTGGCCCTAAGTGTGCCAATTACGTTTGAATGAATTTGCGTTCGCTTTGTTACGCTCTCGCATGTATTTGCATGTGATGCTTACGCTCTTTAAGCAGGCGCTCACTCTCTGTCCATGCTTGTATATGAGCAAATTTGACATCGATATAACTGTTGCCAACTTTGTGCCTTCCGCAAGAAATTCAGTGCGTTTAGGGAATTAAAAGGCAAAAATTGTGTAGTTTAGCGCTTGTTTTGTTCTTTGGTGCCCTTTTCAAGGCAATTTTATAATAAAAACGTGATTCTATGGTGACATTGTATTTGACTTACACATATGTTAGTGTTTGGCCGAGCTTCTCCTCTGAATAATATGCTCTCTATCACGGAATCCATAGAATATTCTGCTAATTAGCTGGGTGTACGCATTTGTACAAAAGTAAGCAATTGCATGAAAATAAAGGAAAGGAGCGAAGTCCGAACGATGGCTTATTGTGTATATGAGGAAAATGTATGCTCTTTGTTTGGTACACAAAGTCAGTATTACCGCAGCCGTACTGCGATGAACATGATGTCGGTGGGGTATAAATAATTGTTTCGCAACTTTTCATACCCTTCCTCCCGTAAACCGTTTTCCCTTTCTCCAGCCCGCGCTCGCACTTTCGCTACTGCGCGGGCAAAAAAGTGCCCATGTCTGCATTATAGAACCAAAACTCAAGAGGAAGAGGATGGGACGGAGCGAGGGGCGGAATTAGCCATACTCGAGCTATGGGAAGACCGAGTGGGGGAGCCCCGTGGGCTGCGGAGGAATGCGCTCGTCTACGCGGAGATGGCAGCGGATCTCGCAGAGCTTGGGTACACCCACAATGCCAGGGATGTGCAAGTTAAATTGCAAAATTTTTCGCAGCGCTACAGGTATGTTCATACAAGAATTAATTAGTAATTAGTAATTTAGTAATTTGCCATGATTTCGGGCTGCTATTGTGTGCAAATAGGTGACCCGACACACACACTTGTAGTCAAAGGTCTAAGCTTAATTTAAAAATTAATTTTGTAATTTTCCTTGCCTAATTTATTAATAAATTCGAAGGCTGCCAACACGGTAAGGTGTTTTGCACAAAAAAAACTGTTTACCGAGTTTAGACCGTTTTCCAATGATGTTCCCCAGGAGTCTATACGAGGCTTCGAGGAGTAAAGTATGACTTTTTATAAAGTTTGAACTGTGCTCTCTACTGGTTTCAATATCAAGAGTCACGCCCCCTCTCCCTCTGCCGACCAACCCAAAAACCGTGGGCAAATAACTAAACATTCCCCTAAAATGCTATTTGTAGAATCTTAATTTTTCAATTAAAACTTGTAGAAAGGAAAAGGCAGAAATGGGTCCTTCCGGTGGGTCGCCTTCTACATGGGTGCACTATGAGAGGGTGCACCAAATAATTGGAGGGTTCAAGTCAAATCTGCACACGGAGCTCACGCTTGAAAGCATTGATGGTACGTATGTTTTCGTTTATTTGGAATCACTTGCATATACATACGAGTACATATCGTCCCCCGTAAGCCAAAAAGTGAATGTGCAAAAATGAAAATTTTGGGAAGTTCATGTAATTAACATTCTGAAATATGTGCTATCCGTGTATGCATTGTATGTTTACGTATAACGTAGAACATCCAAAGATTAATCCAGCCAACACAATAACTCAAAATATGGTAAATTTGCACATTTATGTTTCTGGCCCATACAATTTTGGCGTGATAATGTGCAAGTTTTTTAACACAATAGGGCTATTCAGGATTTTGTGGAAATGGTTTTAGATTTGCAGTTGGAATTGCAATTGCAATTTTTTTGCTTGCTGCCATGGCAACCGCGTGCATTTTATTGTTGTGAATTTACAAATGCAACGGCTATGCAAATCGAAGAGCATATGCACAATATCCTGAACAGCCCTAATTTATTTTTATATGGAAGAAACCCGCAACACCTTCAGCGGGAAAAAAATCAGCGGTAATTTTTAGCAACTTAAAACTTTCACTTTATTGTTCTTAAATTTAAAGGGGCCACAAAACTCCGCACTCGAAAATTTCCTAAAAAATCTGATAAAAAATTTTATTGCCCGCAGCTGTATAGGGCACTCTCGTAAAATTCCCAATTCATTAACCTTTTTAACACGTTTCTTTATCGTATCGTTACCTTAATTCACAAAGGCCCTAAGCAATACTTTTCTAAACTGGGGTTTTCACACATTTTGGTAGGATATGTTAAAATACACCTTCAATACAAATTTCAAAGTTTTAGCATTAAAATGGTACTTTTTAAAAGGTCCTACCTGTTTTTGATACACCTTTTATATGATTTTTTGCTCCCTTAAAATAAAAAATTCGTTGGTTTTGACCTTTGTGAATTAAAGTAACGATATACAATAAGCAAAAATCTTTTCATTTTACAATTAAAAAACGTTTAATTGTATTAAATTTTTAATGTTCACAAAAATGTTTCTTTCAAACAGACTCATCAAAAGCATCGTCATCCATTGCACCTGTACCGTCCCCAGGAACACCGTTGCCATCACCCTCGTCGCCACTGCCCTCACCAGTACCTTCAACATCAGCGTCGGCTGGAAAAGCAAGAAAATTTAATTTTCAATAAAAATTATTAGAGAAGTTTGACAATTTATCGTCGGACATTGCCGAACATCTGAAGAGAATGAAAAGGAATTAATAGATATTGAAAGAAAGAAAGCAAAGGTTCAAGAAAGAACCGCAAAAGATAATTAAGAAGTAAAACGAGCCTTAATATCTTTTTTAACCCTAGAACACACACCCGGGTACAAATGTATCCACTTTCAACTTTGAAGTGTTGTAACTTTTGAACCGCTAACTTCGGATCTAGGAAGATTATTTAGTTTTGAGTTCAAATTCAAAATTTGAACCAGATCGGACCATTGGTTCAGGAGCTACAGCCTTCCAAACACATTATATACGTAAACACACACCCGGGATACGTTTGTACCCCAATAGTAAAAATCCTCATAATAATAAAAAAAAAACATTTTTTATATTATTTTTTTATTTGAAAAATTAAAAATATTCATTTCACACATTATATTATTGACTTTTATTATAAAAATTATAAAAATGCATCTTATATCTAAGGAAAATCATGGCAAATAGAGCAATTTGTTGATGTGACCGAATGTTCAAGACACATTGGCTTCTTACATTTGTCGCACAGCTTTCTGGTTTTTCTACGGCGTTTTTCCTCTTGTGCGTAACATAAATAGCAAGATCCGGACACAGGTTTTGGCGTGCGCGCTGCGGCAGATGTTGATGCTGCTGTTGACACCATT